GAGACGAGAGGAGAGAGAGAGAGACTGAGAGAGAGAGAGAGGAGAAGAGAGAGAGACGACTCGAGAGAGAGACCGAGAGAGAGAGAGAGGAGAGAGTGAAGAGGAGAACGAGAGGAGAGAGAGAGAGAGAGAGAGAGAGAGAGAGAGAGAGAGAGAGAGAGAGAGAGGAGAGAAGAGAGACTGAGACTGAGAGAGAGAGAGAGAGAGAGAGAGAGAGGAGGAAGATAGAGGAGAGGAGAGAGAGAGAGAGAGAGAGAGAGAGGAGAGAGAGAGAGAAGAGAGAGTGAGACTGAGGAGGAGAGGGAGAAGAGTGAGAGAGAGAGAGGAGGAGCGGAGAGAGAGAGAAGGAGGAGAGGAAAGAGGAGAGAGGAGAGGAGAAGAGAGAGAGAGGAAGGAGATGAGAGAGAGAGGAGAGAGAAGAGAGAAGGAGAGAGAGAGACGGAGGGGAAAAAGTTTGCTATCACATATTCCAAACAAATCCATAGGATGTGCCAAAATTTATCTTATAGAAAGGCAATAACAATATCACCAATTCACTCAATAACAAATATTCTAGGAAAAATAATCACCAAAGAATTAGCTCATAGGCCTATATCATTTGTAAAGCCTACACATACGCGACCATACATTCCACACATACAATCCTACATTCATACATACAACAGGCAATCAAAATATACAAATAACACAAACAACAAAACACGAATAGTGTTGTATGGCGTGTTAATATCTACATAATAATAATATGATAGCTACACATACAGACAAACACGCATTAAAACAAGAAAACAATATTAAGACAAATACCGTAAAAACAGCTGTTCTAAAACATTAACAAGAAAAGAAAGAAAAAAAAAAAAAAAAATAAAAAAAAAATTAAAAACGTGGATACGGAACTAAAAGAAAGAAAGAAAAAACATAAAATGAATAAAGAAAGAAAATAAGAAAGTAAAAAAAAAAGTTCGGGGATACGGGACTAAAAACAAACAAACAAACAACCACAAATAAATAAATACAGAAAAAAAATAAGAATTTAAAAAAAAAAATCAGGGATACGAACCTAAAAGAAAATATCTTTAAAAAATGACCAAAAAAATGATGAAAAATGAACAAATGGCCGAATGCCGTGATGAGAGCGAGTCCTTCCTTCTCGGCCTCATCACACAAGGCCGTAATGAAGAGTGATGATGATAATGATGATGATGATGATGCCGCGTCTGATTTTAATGCGTGGGAGCCTTTTGTGGTCTGTCTTGTTAGGGCGAAAGAGAAGAAAATAAAGGGAGGGAGAAGGAAGGGAGAGGGAGGAGAAGGAAAGGAAATAAATATAATATATATATATATATATATATATATATATATATATATATTAGAGAGAGAGAGAGAGAGAGAGAGAGAAGAGAGAGAGATAGAGGAGAGAGAGAGGAGAGAGAGACGAGAGAGAGAGAGAGAGAGAGAGAGAGAGAGAGAGAGAGAGAGAGATTGTAGCACACGTGTATAAGGTAATGATTACGCAAATAAAACAGGAATACATCCATATCTACATCCATCCATCCAACTGTCCACCCACCCACTGATCCATCCATCCACCTTCCTACTAACCCACTCACCCATCTATCCATCTATCCATATACCCCCTCCTCCCCCCACCCCACACACACCACACACACAAATCCACACGAAAAACCAAACCCACCCACCTCGGAACACACCACGACGAGGAATGAACCACCGCCCCCAACCCCCCCCGACGCACAAATCGAACCCACTTGCGAACCTTCGTCGAACCCTCTCGAACCTTCTCGAACCTCCTCGAAGCGACACACGGGGTTCAACCAGCGTGACAGTCGCCGCTCCTTCCCAGAGGTCGGAAGTGAAGCATCCGGTCGCTTAAACAGGTGTAATCATTAAGCGCAGGTCGCTTCCGGTGTGAAGGGATAGGGAGGGGGTGGGTGGGGGGAGGTAATGGGAAGGGGGAACGGGAGGGGGAGGGAGGGGGAGGTGAAGGGAAGAGGGGGGGGGTGATGGGAAAGGGGAGGGGAAGGGAGAAGTTGGAGGGGGGGTGATGGGAAAGGGGAGGGAGAAGTGAGGGGGGAGGTGATGGGAAGGGAAGGGGAAGGGGGATGGGGAAGGGAAGGGGAGGGAAGGAGAGGGAGAGCAGGGTTAAGGAAGGGAGGAAGTGGAGGGAGGGGAAAGGGGGAAAGATATGAGGGGAAGAGAGGGGGAAGAGGTGAGGGGAAAGGATGGAAAGATTGAGGGAAAGGGGAAACATAAGTGAGGGAGAAGAAGGGGGTGAAGGAAAGGAGGGGGAGGGTGTGGAGAAGAGGGGAGAGGTGAAGGGAAGGGGGGGAGAGGAGGGGGAGAGGGGGGAGGGAAATCGTGGAAGGACACGAGGAAATGAGCGAGTTACAACCGTGGGAACAAAAGTAAGGTTTAAAATTGACACCAGTCGACTGTGTAATTAAATTCTCAACGTCTTTCCAATTAGACTTCAAATAAAACGGAACAAAACATCCTATCACAATCATTATCGTTGTATCATCCGTATCATAATCACTATCATCATTTGGGAATCGAACTTCCTACAGACAGACTTTGTAACACGAACCCCCCCACTGCTAACGAATCCCTGGATCCCTCCCCCCTCCCCCCCCCCCCACCCCCACCCTAACATAAACCTACATCAAATTAATTCATCCGTAAAAAAAAAAAATCAAACAAAACACCAGAGATAATAAACAATAAAACCGATAAAACAGACATTAAAGACGAAATTGACGTTTGATAAAAGATAATAAACACGGGATTAAAAAGGAAATCGATGTTTAATCAAGAGAAGCAAAAAATGAGATTAAGATGAAATGGATGATTCTGACAGGAAGGATAACCTCACATCCGCGCGGAAAAGTTTGTAACTGTAACCGCTCGGAATGACTCGGCTGCGTTCGAGTGGGTGGCGAGCGGGTGCGTTCGAAACACTTCATAAATCACTTGTATATTCTTAAATAAATCTTTTTTCTCTTCTTTCTTTTTTCTTCTGTTTTTTCCCATTTTTTTTTTGTTATTTTTTAATTCTAATTTTTTCTCTTTCTTTCTTCAATGAATCTTTTTCTCTTTCTTTCTTTTTGTTTTTTTTCTGTTTTTTCCCCATTACTTTTTTCTGTATATTCTTTTCTCTTATTTTTTTGTTTATTTTATTTTTCAATTTCCTTTTTTTGCAGTTAAATCTTTTCTCTCCTTTATCTTTTGTTATTTTTCTCATCTTTGCTTTTTTAAATCTTGTCTACTTCCTTTCTCTTTTATTCACTTTTTTTCTCCCCCTTCTTTTTTGTTATATTTTTCCTTTCCCTCCTTTCCCAATTTTTCTCCCAATCATGAACTATTCTCCTTTCTTTCCGTTTCTTTTCTTATCACCCTTTTTCTTCTTCTTCTTTTCTTTATATTTATGGGATATTCCATTTCGTCTAATGATAGTGTGACTCGAATTGTGACGGTGTTTTCTTACCTTTCATTTCACGCTTAAATTCATCAGTTTCTTAAAAAAATATATAATAAATCTTAGCCGAGATAAATACCTTTTTGCACTCACATTTATCTTCATAATAAACGTTTACAGATGTCGAGAACAATTTTGAAATCGTTGTTTCTGTTTTGTGGCTTTGTTATTATTATTTTTTTCTATTTTTCGATGTTCGTCTTCTTTTATTTCTTCTTTTTTACTCTTTTTCTACTTCTTTGTTCCTCCAATACTATGCGTTAGTCTAATACCGTTATGGTGTTATCATCATAACTATCATCATCAAATTATTATTACCATCATCATTATTATCATCATCAAATTCTTATTATCATTTTATCATCACAATTTTAATATCATTATTATCATCAAATTATTATTATCATTATCATCATCATCAAGTTCTTATTATCATTATTATCATCATCAAATTCTTATTATCATCATCATCATCATTATAAACATCATCATTATGAACATTGTGCTGTACTCTCTCCCAATCCCCTTCCCCCCTCTCCCTCTCTCTCGCTCTCCCATTCCCACTTCCTCTCCTTCTCCTTCTCCTTCTCCCTCTCCCTCCTCCTCTCCCCTTGGCCCTCTATCCTCCCCCTTCCCCTTCCCTTTCATCTCCCCCCATGGCCCACTCCACTTCCCCTTCTCCCTTCCCGTATCTTCCACGACTCCCACTCCCACTCCCTCTCCCTCTCCCTCCTATCCCCCTCCCCTGCCATTCTCCTCTCCCTCCCACCACTTCCCCTCCCATTCCCTTCCCTCTCCCTCCCCCTCCCATCCCTCCCTCCTCCCCTCCTTCTCCCTCCTCTCCCCTTCCCACCTCCCTCTCCCTCTCCTCCCTCCCCCTCCCACTCCCTCTCCCCCTCCCCCTCCCTCCCCCTCCTCCCAATCATACTCACCAGCGAATTGTTCTCGCAGCTGAGTGTCTTGACGTGCAGCTGAAGGCGAGAGAGCTGTGTATTAAGGCTGGAATTTCGACGTACGAGACACCGCTCTTTCTCCGTCAGCGAGGGTCGAGTCTGGAATGGGGGGGAATAGTGCTAAAATAAATAGACGTTCCTACGTACATAAGTGTGCTGAAATAAAGATAAAATCACGTGCATATAGATAGATAAAGAGGTAAATTAGCTATATGGATGGATGGACGGCACACAGACACACGTACATACATACATACATACATACATACATACATACATACGCATACGTACACTCATTCCCTTCCTCTATCTCTTCTTTCTTTCTTTCTATTAAATTATCAGAAATATTCTTAACATTCTTACTGTATTCATCATCATTAACATTATCATCATCATCATAATGATAATGACAATAATAATAACAATAAAAAGTAACAGTGATAATGATAATGATAATGATAAATTAATGATAATGATGATGATGATGATGATGATGATGATGATGATGATGATAATGATAATGACGATGACGACGACAATAATAACCGTAAATTCAACATCATTAAAATCGGCATTTTTATATCTTTCTTTTTTAGGCAAATGACACAAAAAACATAACAGGTTTATTCTTTGGCGGCATAAAAACTCGGCCTCTTCCCTGTGCAAAATTGTTAATATTTGTTAGAATGTTTGTTAGAAATCTCAAACTGGCTTTTAAGTGAAAGAGAGAGAGAGAGAGAGAGAGAGAGAGAGAGAGAGAGAGAGAGAGAGAGAGGAGAGAAGAGAGAGAGAGAAGAGAGAGAGAGAGAAAGGAGAAGAGAGAGAGAGAGAGAGAGAGAGAGAGAGAGAGAGGAGGGGAGGGAGGGAGGGAGGGGAGGGAGGGAGGGAGGGAGGGAGGGGGAGGGAGGGGGAGGGGGAGGGGAAGGAGGGAGAGGAGAGAGAGAGAGAGAGAGAGAGAGAGAGAGAGAGAGAGAGAGAGAGAGAGAGAGAGAGAGAGGAGAGAAGAGAGAGAGAGAGAGAGAGAGAGAGAAGCAGAAAGACACAACAAACAAACAGACAGGCAGAGAGACAGACAGACAGGCAGAAAAAAACAGACAGACAGCTAGATAGACAGAGACACAGAAAGAGAAACATAGACAGAGACACAGAAAAAGAAACATACAATATATATATTTTTTCTCGAACTACTCGGTAACGTCTTGGGATTCGCCTTCGAAGATCGCATAACGGATTCCCCACTGATGTCTCGTCCCTTTTGGAAGGAAGGTCAGAAAACTTCCTCTCTCTCTCTCTCTCTCTCTCTCTCTCTCTCTCTGAATCCCTCTCCTCTCTTTCTCTTTCTCTTTCTTTTTTTTTCTCTTCTTTTTGTTTTACTTTTTTTTCTTTCTCTCTCTCCTCCCCTTCATCTGTCTCTGTCTCTCTCTCTCTCTTCCAATCTTTCGTCTTCTCTCTCTCTCTCTCTCTCCAATCTTTCGTCTTCTCTCTTTCTCTCTCTCTCTCTCTCTCTCCCTCTCTCTCTCTCTCTCTCTCTCTCTCTCTCTCTCTCTCTCTCTCTCTCTCTCTCTCTTATATATATATATTATATATATATATATATATATATATATATATATATATCCCTCCCCCAACAAGACTTTTCTCCTCTCCCTCCCTCCATCCCCCCTCCTCCTTGCCCTCCTTCCCTCCACCAAGACTTCCCACCCTTCCTCCCCCTCCTCCCCCCTCCCCCAAGACGTCACCTCGGCTCGCAATCAGTTCGTGGAGATTCACCGGAACTAGAAAAAAAAAATGCAAGTCACTGTCGGGTAGAATGAGTTAAATATAGATAGATATCAAGTGTAGGTCTATCTATCTATCTATTATCTATCTATCTATATCTATATAATATATAATGTAATATATATAAATACATTTTTTTCATACATTTATATTTCTTATTTCTATTCTTTTACTTATTTTCCTTCTTGACAAAAAAAAAACAACAAACAAAACCCTAACGAAAAACGACAATCAAAACCAGACGCGAAAACAGTGGTAATAATAATAGCAATAATAAGACAATGAATCAAAAACTGAAAATAAAATTAAACAAAGCAAAAATATACAAAAAATATACAAAAAAAACAAAAACAAGAGCAGACGAGAATAATCAAGAAAAAAATAAAAAAATAACCAGGAATACAATAACAGCAAATAGTCAAACAAACAAACAAAACAAAACAATTAAGAAAAAAACGTAAAAAATGCGAAATAGAACAATCAAAAAATTATCAAGAAAAATACAAATCAAGAAAACAAAACCAGTAACAAAAAATCTATAAAAATAAAATAAAAACAAAAAAGCAAAACAAAAAATCAAGCAACAACCCTCCCCCCCCAAAAAAAAATAAAAAAAATAAAAATAAAACAAACAACCAAGAAACCACCCGACACACACAGAGCTATATACCTCTAACAGTATACTTTTTACAAGAACATACACATCGTGAGAACAGTTCTTCGTGTTTACAAGAACAAACGACCGAGTTCACGCAAGAACAAAGAACTTCTTCCCCAAACGTAATAACTCGAAGAACAGTTCTCGACTCGGTAAAAGTGACAAACCGCGGTGAACAAATTTTACAACGAACGAAATGTATTTTTTTTTTTTAGAGAGAGAGAGAGAGGGGAGGGGAGGAGGGGAAGGGGGGTGAGAGGGATGGAGGGAGGGAGAGAGAGAGGGGGAGAGGGAAAGGAGGGAGGGGGAGGGAGGGAGGGAGAGGGAGGGAGGGAGGAGGGAGGAGGGAGGGAGGGGAGAGAGAGATGGGAGAGAGAGAGAGAGAAAGAATAGAGAGAAGAGAAAAATGAGAGAAGAGAGAAAGAAAATCTGGATTTTTCTGATTTCCTGTCGTGACATCCATTTTGAAAGAAATAATTATGCTTTTTTTTTCTTTTTTGCTGATGATATCACACCACGAGAAAGATTTCTCGTAATTGGCAAATCGGGAAAGACGTTTCACTTTCTTAAATAATTTAGAGTTTCTCACATAATAAGAACGCAGATCACACGAGAACACGAGTTGGCAGAACAGTTTCATAACAACCCTCCCCCCCTCTCCCGTCTTCCTCTTCTTTTCCTCCTTTTCTTTCGCTATCTATTTCCTTCCTATTCACCTCCTCCCTTCGCGGCTTCCTCAACCACCCGCCCTTCCTCTTCTTCTCTCTTCCTGTTTCTCTCTTTTCATTATTTTCCCTCTTCCGCTTCCTCCTCCTCCTCCCTTCCTGTTACGCGTTCCGTTATCTCCTCCTTTCCTCCTCCCTCCCTGTACCTCCCCTCTTCCTTTCCTCCCCTCTCTCCCTCTTCCTCTCTTTCCTCCTTCCTCTTCCCTCCCTCCCCCTTCCTTACGCATTCCTACAGAGCCTCGGTAACTTCCTCTCCCCCTCCCCCCTCCCCGTTTTTTTTTACCATCCTCTCCCCCCATCTTCTTACGATCCTCCCGCTCTTAGCCCTCCTCTTTTACTTTCTTTAATTTCCTCCTCTCTCTTATTTCTTCTCTCTCTAATTATCTATCTTCTCTCCGTGCACCCCCCCTCCTTCCTCTCTACTTACCCCGTACCCCCACCCGCCCTTACCTATCCTTTCTCCCTTTACCTAAATACCCCTCTTCTTATTATTTCCTCCCCTTTCTTTCCCTTCCTTCCTCCTCTCTTACCTATCCCTCCATTCTCTGGTTCTTCCCCCTTCTCCCATTTCTTCTTCGCCACTCTATCCCTCTCCCTCTCCACCTTCTCCTCCATACTTATCCCCTCTCCTCTCCCCCTCCGTCCCCTAACCATCCCCCCCGCCACGCCCACTTTTACCCATCCTCCCCCCTCGATGTCCCTTTCCCTCCATACCCACTTCCTACCCCCCCCCCCCCTTTCTGCCCATTTCCTACCCATACCCCTTCCTACTCATCCTCCTCCATACCCATTCCCCCCCCCTTCCATACCGCCTTCCTACCCATCCCCACACCCACTTCCTACCCACTCTATCGCCTCTTATCCCCCCCGCCATAACCTCTTCTTACCCCCTCTACCCCCTCTTCTTAACCCCCCCACCGCCATAACCTCTACCCCTCTACCCCACTCATCTTCGCCCCCCTTTCTTACCCCCCTCCCGCCTCCCCTCCCTTCCGCCTCGCACGTCAACCCATTAATAAGTTCCTCTTTGCAAACTTCGAAGATGAATCCGATTTCCGGTGGAGGATTTTTTTCTTCTCTTTTCTCTCTTCTTCTTCTACTTCTTTTTTCTTCTTCATTTTCTTTCTCTTTTTCTTTCTGCTACTACTACAACTTCTTTTTCTTCGTTTCTTTTCTTCTTCATTTTCTTTTTTTTTCTTTCTCTACTACTCTACTTCTTCTTTTTCTTCCTCTTCTTTCTCGCGTTTCTTTTCATTTTATTTTCCTTTTATTTATTTATTTTCCCGTTTCTCTTACTAAAGGTCTACGCTCTTTTTCGTTCTTTTCGTCATGTCTCCTATTTTTCCATCATTTTCTTTTTCTCTTCTTTCACTTCCTCCTCCTCTCATTCATCTTTCTTCTTTTTCTACCTCTTTATCTCCCTTCCTTCTATTTTATTCCTTTCCTTCCTCTCTTTTCTCTTCTTCTTTCTCCTTCTCTTCCTCCTCTTTCACTTCCTTCTCTTTTCTCTTGTTCTTTTTGCACTCTTTGCTTCTTCCATTTCTGTTTCCACTTCCCATTCTTCCCATTCTATTTATCCGATTCTTCGCCTCCTCCCCTTCCTTCTTCCATTCGTTATTCCCTTACTTCGCTCCCTCTTTCATCGAATTTTTCTTTGTCTCTCTCTTCTCTCTCTTTCTACTCTCTTCTTTATAATCTACGTTCTATTTTCTTTATCTATTTTTTTTACTTAATGTGTTTCCTTCTTCCTACTTCTCTCCTTCCATTTCTTTCCTCCTTGTTTATCCGATTCTCGCCATCTCCCTCCAACGCTCTTTTTCTTACTCCTCTCTCCCTCTCTCTCTCTCTCCCTCCTTTATACCCTCCTCCTCCCTCTCTCTCTCTCTCTCTTCCCTCCTTTACCCCCCTCCCTCCCTCTTCCTTCCTTTACCCTCAAC